AGTCTCTTATTATTATAAATTGTATTTGATCGAATGATGGGCAAAGATACAAACCAATTAAGTATCTGAAACAAAAATATCCTTATTAACATAAGTAAACATTACAACAACTCTGTTTTAGAATAAAAACCTAAAACAAAACATAGCCTTTCTTCTTAAGAAACGTAAAAGTACATTAACTCTATACTAATAACAACAAACTAGAAATTAACCCGCACATTGTGTGAGATAATATTTTTTAAAATTTTCTTTAAATTTAAATTGTATTTTTTGGTTAAATTAAAATTGGTGGCAAAAATCTTAACAAAAAAATATAAATAAATAAAATTAGTGGCAATTAGATAATTAACAATATATATATATATATATATAAATATCACATATTTACTTGTATAGATATCTATCGAATAAGACTTTGAGCTAATTTTTTATGCAGTTTAATTATTAGTAGTTTTTAAATATAAAAATGATATGATGCTAATGTATATATATATACTTATATACATACCAACATTGATTAGAATATATATATATCCAAAAAACTAAAATTTAATTGTGAATATTTTATTAAAGGTCAAACTATCATTTTAGTTAATAAATTCTATAATATGTATTAATAATGATGATATATAGCATTGTCAAAGTTGACAAGCCCGTCTACTTAATCAATTTTGCAATTTACTAAAATATATTTTCAACCAATCCGTTAAAAAATATAATTTAATTTTTGAAAATATATTTCAGTTTTTTTATAAAAATAATTGAACTGATTTTCGAAAATAAAACTAATTAATTATGAAAATACAAATGAAAAATATTACAAAACTTTAAATAGATTTTTCATATATATAGATTCATTATTATTTAAAATAATAAAATATATTTTAATATTTTAATAATAAAAGAAACTAAATACACTTTTGATTTATATTCATGTATATTCAACACAAATTTGTGAGCTCTTAATTCTACTATCTCGTAAGAAAAAAATATTTAGTTGAATTTTTTATATTTATAAAATTTATTTATGTAATATATTTTAATTAAAATTTTATTTATATAATATCTTATAAATAAATATTTATTTATGTAAAATATTCTGTAATATCTTACAAATAAAGGTTTATTTATATAAATGTCTATTCAAATAATAATATAGAAATAATAGAAAGATGAATATAATGTTTAAAAACATATTAAAAAACATACAACAACATACACAATCATTAATATGTAAAAAAACACAACAAATATCCAAAGAAAAACCAAATGTAATAAAAAAAACAAATGATGCACAAAGATAAATGCAAATGTTTGTAAAAATTACATAATCAAACGTTTGTAATCCGCGCCTGCTAAATTATAAAATCATGTTTTTCTTTCAAAACTATAAAACTGTAATTTTCGCCAAAAAGTATAAAACTTATATGTCACATTATTCCACAAAAATGTGAAATTTTTTTATTTATTGTACAACTAAATTCGATAAAGATTTATTCTCAAATTATTTTTATAGTAGTGCACTGTAAAAGTTAGGAATAAAATTCTTTTAAAACATTATACATTACAATAACCATAATGAACAGGGTAGTTATGATAGAAAGAGATACTAGTGGCCTCCTTGGACCATCTCCATCCCTGATACGGGAAAATGGCCAAAAGCAACCCGAACTAAATTTGATGTGCCGAAAAAAATCCAAACTAAAATACGGTGCCAAAATCTATCCGAGTTCCAAAATAATTTAAATTCCCTATCCAAACTCTAATATAAGTATCAAAATCTACCTTGACTAACTTTGATGTTAGTCAACTGTTAAAAAACGCTGACGTGGCATGACAGAATATGACTTGGCATGACAAGTTGTCACCTTACTAAAACAAAGTCGTTTTAGTAAAACAAAAAAAAATAAAAGCTTTCCTCTTTCTTGGATTCGAATCCAAGACACTATATACCATATCCAAGCATATAGACCAATTGAACCACGAGACATTATTGCCATGTTTTACAGATACATTTATATATTATTAATACGCCAGTTTAAATTCGAAAAAAACAAAACGACAACCACCTGATGTGAATTGCACCACCGGAATCCTTTCCATCTGCTTCGTCTTTGTCCGCGACCGAGATGATCTCGCTCTCGTCAAATAATCGACGGCGAGAGATTCCAAAATCTGAACCTCCACGAAATGAACGACGCAAGCGCATGCCATCACCGACCGCTCGCTTCACGTCTTTGACGAGTACCGGATCCGGCATCTGACGGATGAATTGAATACATTGTTGTTTTGTTTTTTTTTTCCGAATTTAGACAGGAATTGAATACGTCGTTGTTTTTTTTTCGAATTTAAACTGTCTAACCCTTATTCGATTTTGGGAGTTTAATTTACCACTAATTAAATGTCTTTTTTTGTTTTTTGTTTTCGAATTTAGACAGGCGTATTAATAATATATAAATGTATCTGTAAACCATAACAATAATGTCTTGTGGTTCAAATGGTCTGCGTGCTTGGATATGGTATACAATGTCTTGGGTTCGAATCTAGGAAATAGGAAATTTTTTATTTTTTTTTGTTTTATTAAAACGACGTCGTTTTACTAAGGTGACAACGTGTCATGCCAAGTCATATTCCGTCATGCCACGTCAGCATTTTTTTATCAGTTGACTAACATCAAAGTTAGTCAAGGTAGGTTTTGACACTTATATTAGAATTTGGATAGGAGATTTGAATTATTTTGGAATTCGGATAGTTTTTGGCACTATATTTTAGTACAGATTTTTTTCAACACATCAAATTTAGTTCGGGTTGGTTTTGGCTCTTTTCCCTCCCTGATACTGCATGAGGTTCTTACCATTAAAGTGACATTTAAAATAAATCAAAAAGCTTAAAAACCTTAAGAACTTAGAGTTCTAAAATAAGAACCTCTCTTTAAGAGTTCTTAAAAACACTTGTTCTTGTTTTATTGGTTTATGTTTTAAAAATTTTTTCTGGACCAATGATAGATGGAAATTAAAGAAAAAGACAGAAAATTAGAGGGAAAGACAAAAAATAAGAGAGAAAAAGAGGCAGAAAATTTATTATTCTAAAATTGGTAAGAACCCGATAATGGGTTTACCAATGGAAATGCTCTTAGGATACTACTACTACTGTGTCTAATGCATTATGTTCATTTAAGAACAAGAAATTGATATTTTTTTCATTTATTAGTCAAATTTTATTCAAATTAATTATTTCGACTAACCGTTTTAACGTAAATTATAAGAAAAAAAGAGTAGGAATTAGAATGAAAAGTGCAATAGCAATAAATGCAAGAATATTTACTTCCATAATTTAATCATTTAATATTAACTTTTTTCTTTGGAATATCTCGGGTTTTAATCCCATAGAGATTAGAAATCTTTCGCTTGTAAACTCACTCAGATGAATTAGATTTAGATGATATCGAATGAAAGAAATATCATGAATAGCAATATGGGAGCTATAAAATCGATTAATCTTCAATAATTTAATAGTATAACATAGGAAGATCTTTTATCCACACCGAATACATAATGAGATTCCTGATTCAATCAAAAAATATTTATTTAGGATTCTTTTTCCCCTACTTTCGTTTCTACTCCTCAGTACTTTACTTTTCTTGTACAATTATCGGATGAAGTATAATAAAAAAAATTTTCTACTTTGATTGTTTACAAAAAGAGTTTCTAAAAAACCAACAATAGAAATCAAATAGAGAAAACAATTACGAAGTTTAGTTTGAAATTTAAATTTTTTAAGGGTCTATCATCTTTTTGGAACACAAAGAAAGAAGAATGTGATAAAGATGAGTCCCAGTAAAAAAACGAAAACTATTCCAAAAAATTAGCTGTTTAAATTTTCTTACAAGTTTTTTCTTCGATATCGACTCCAATATTCAAAACAAGCATATTAGGGAAGACAAATTTTCTTTATAGTTTTTAACTATCCTCTTTCCTTGGTTGGATCAACCAATTTTCAATTCCTTGACTTGATAATATATATAGGTACTCTTGACAAACATATTATACGCTATCCTATTTCATTTTCCTACACGATTTAATGGGCAATTAATTGACAAAAAATAGAAACCTCGTATAGTATCTCGTTCTGGAAGTGTTGAGATGCTCTTAATCTCAATAATTATAATTATACTAATTTACATATGTCTCTCTACCATCAAATTGGTGCTAGTTAAAATAATGGAAATACCCCTTTCTATTGCTTGATATAAAAAAAAAAACTGAAACAAAAAGATAAATGAAACTATTTTGATCCTCTTGCCCAGAAACAAAAAAGGAAATTTATGTCTTTTTTTTTATTAAATCCGCCGGGAATGACGGGGCTTGAATCCGCAGCTTCCACCTTGACAGGTCGGTGCTCTAACCAATTGAACTACAATCCCATGGAAATCAGTGGATAGCTTCCATATTCTTTCTTATGATTTCATTGTAATCATTACAATTTTAGATTCAAATTAGTATTTTGTAAAAAAGAAATTCACAAGTGATATATTGATATCTGTATGGATATCACTTTTGTGATAGCAAAACGGATTACTGGTAATCCTTGCATGATTATCAAATCAATTGCTGATCTGTTTTATATTGTAACAAAGTAGATTATTTTCTCGACTCTGTTCATTAAATTTTATATTTAAAGGATCCATATCGTGATCCTTAGCAAGATCAGAATATTTGTATGGAACCAAAAATAACGAGATACGATAAATAAATAAAAAGTAAAGTCAAAACATACCCCACAATTTGACATTTTTCTTACCCTTTTCTGTCATTTATGCAAAACAAAAGAGTTTATCTAGACAGAGAATTATTGGGCCGAGCTGGATTTGAACCAGCATAGACATATTACCAATGAATTTACAGTCAGTTCCCATTAACCGCTCGAGCATCGACCCAGGAAGAATATATTCTAACTTTATGGATAATCTATGATCAGCTTCCTTTCGTAGTACCCTACCCCTAGGGGAAGTCAAATCTCCGATGCCTCCTTGAAAGAGTGATGTCCTGAACCACTAAACGATGGGGGCATACTTGCTCAACCGCCATCATACTATGATCATAGTATGATCAGTTTTTTTTTTAAATTGTCAATATAATCAAATGATATGACTAGCTTATATATAAAGTTTTTCTTTTTCTGTAGCATTTTTATTTATTTTACATTTGGATTCAAATTCTAATTTGAAATTGCGACATTATAATGCAATCACATTCTCTGGTCCAATTGCTGTTTTGGTTTTGTCTTCCTAATTTATCCACTAGGTCAATCGGGTTGGTTCTTTGCGCCTAGATTTGGTGTAGCAGCTATATTTCGATTCATCATATTTTTCCAAGGGTTTCATAATTGGACATTGAACTCATTTCATATGATGGGAGTCGCCGGTGTACTGGGCGCGGCTCTACTATGTGCTATTCATGGTGCTACTGTAGAAAATACTTTATTTGAAGATGGTGATGGTGCAAATACATTCCGTGCTTTTAACCAAACTCAAGCCGAAGAAAGTTATTCAATGGTCACCGGTAACCGCTTATGGTCACAAATATTTGGGGTTGCTTTTTCATGGATGAATTCTCTTGGATTAGTCGGTCTAGCTTTGAACCTACATGCCTATGACTTCGTTTCCCAGGATATCCGTGCAGCGGAAGATCCAGAATTTGAGACTTTCTATACTAAAAATACTCTTTTAAACGAAGGTATTCATGCTTGGATGGCGGCTCAAGATCAGCCTGATGAAAACCTTCTATTCCCTGAGGAGGTTCTACCACGTGGAAACGCTCTTTAGTGGAACTTTAGCTTTAGCTGGTCGTAATCAAGAAACCACCGGCTTCGCTTGGTGGGCCGGGAATGCCCGACTTATCAATTTATCTGGTAAACTATTGGGAGCTCATGTAGCCCATGCCGGATTATAATCGTATTCTGGGCCAGAGCAATGAACTTATTTGAAGTGGCTCATTTTGTACATGAAAAGCCATGTATGAACAAGGAATAATTTTACTTCCCCACCTAGCCACTTTAGGCTGGGGGTAGGTCCAGGGGGAGAAGTTATAGACACCTTTCCGTACTTTGTATCTGGAGTACTTCACTTAATTTCTTCTGCAGTTTTGGGCTTTGGCGGTATTTATCATGCATTTCTGGGACCCGAAACTCTTGAATAGTCTTTTCCATTTTTTAGTTATGTATGGAAAGATAGAAATAAAATGACCACCATTTTGGGTATTCACTTAATTTTGTTAGGTGTAGGTGCTTTTCTTCTAGTATTCAAGGATCTCTATTTTGGGGGCGCATATGATACCTGGGCTCCAGGAGGGGGGATGTAAGAAATATTACAAATTTGACTCTTAGCCCAAGTGTTATATTTGGTTATTTACTAAAATCTCCCTTTGGGGGAGAAGGATAGATTGTTAGTGTGGACGATTTGGAAGATATAATTGGAGGGCATCTATGATTAGGTTCCATTTGTTTATTTGGTGGAATCTGGCATATCTTAACCAAACCTTTTGCCTGGACTTGCTGCGCACTTGTATGGTCTGGGGAGGCTTACTTGTCTTATAGTTTAGCTGCTTTATCTGTTTGTGGTTTCATTGCTTGTTGTTTTGTCGTGTTTACTAATACTGCTTACCCTAGTAAGTTTTACGGACCTACAGGGCCAGAAGCTTCTCAAGATTTACTTTTCTAGTTAGAGACCAACGCCTTGGAGCTAAAGTGGAATCTGCTCAAGGACGTACATGTTTAGGTAAATACTTAATGCATTCCCCAACTGGAGAAGTTATTTTTGGAGGAGAAACAATGCATTTTTGGGATCTGCGTGCTCCCTGGTTAGAACCTTTAAGGGGTCCTAACGGTTTGGACTTGAGTAGGTTGAAAAAAGATATACAACCTTGGCAAGAACGACATTCTGCCGAATATATGACTCATGCTCCCTTAGGTTCCTTAAATTCTGTAGGGGGCGTAGCTAATGAGATCAATGCAGTCAATTATGTCTCTCCGAGAAGTTGGTTATCGACCTCTCATTTTGTTCTAGGATTCTTCATATTTGTGGTTCATTTATGGCATGCGGGAAGGGCTTGAGCAGCGGCAGCAGGATTTGAAAAAGAATTGATCGTGATTTTGAACCCGTTCTTTATATGATTCCTCTTAACTAAAGTAGTAGTTAAAATAGGAAAGTCAAAATCGGTTCATATTAAAATTAAAAAGTCTTCTTTGTTTCTTTCATTTCAATATAATTTTTTTCTGGCTCGGCTCCTCCTTTTTTATGATGTTAAGAAGTAACAAAAGTCAATAAAGAAAAAATATATCAATCCAACAAAAGGAGGAAAATTAAAAACTTTAAATTATTTTGACGCATATTATTCTAACAATAGAAATAAGAACTTTAAATTATTCTGATTCAAGATCCCCTCTTTTTTTTTTTACTTATTTACTTGAATTTTATACTGTAGTTTTGGATACCAACTAAACTAATCACACAATATCCCCAGTTTTTAATCGCTTTTTCTTTTGTACGATTCAGGAGTAGTAACCGATTTTATAAATCGAAATACAGGGAGGCCCCCTTCTTCCCCACAAAAAAATGATAATTTATCTTATTATTAATACAAAATTTTGTATATAGCTAGAACGACCCTCACAAATTGCGAATACTATTTGTTAAGAATGAATCGACTTGAAGCTATAGCATCACCATTTGCTGGAATAAAGATATCGCGAGATCGGGATTACAATTTGTATCGATTAAAGAAATGGTTGGAATTCCAAAGTTACACAATCTCGAAGAGCCGTATATTCTTCTTGCTGATCGATAATAATTACAATATCAGGCAATCCTGTCATATATTTAATCCTGCCTAGATATGTTTCCAAGCGTGATAATTGTCTCTTCAACACAGCTGCATCCCTTTTCGGAAGACGGTTGAATCCCTCTGTCTTTTGTTCAGTTCTAAAGTCCCTAAACTTATGAAATTTGTTTTTTTGTAGTGGACCAATTTGTTAACATACCGCCGAGCCACTTTTTATTAACATAATGACACCGAGCCCTTATTGCAGCCCACGACACTAAATCAGCTGCTTTATTTTTTGTCCCAACAATTAAGAATTGTTTTCTCCTACTGGCTGCATAAAAAAACTAAATCACAAGCTTCTGATAAAAAACAAGCAGTTCTAGTCAGATTTATAATATAAATACCTTTACGCTTTGCCGAAATATAAGGTGCCATTCTAGGATTCCATTTCCTAGTACCATGTCCAAAATGAACTCTTGCTCTCATCATCTCTTCCAAATCGATGTTCTAATATCTTTTTGCCATTTCTTTTCACACTTAAAATAAAAAAGAGGGAGGGGGGGGGATACCCCTAACTAAAATAATTTTTTTTTCTGATGGAGCCTTCTCTTGTACCAGGGATAGCCGTTTATGCACGAGGCGAGCCATTATTTTGTGTTCATTATTATCTTTATTAGTGTTAACAAATTACCAACACAAATGACTACAGCCAAAAAAAAAAAAAATTCAATATAGGGTCTGAGATTAGAAATTATTAAATTCTAGAAAAGGCAGGTTTTAAATAGAAGGGTCACAAAATTCTCCGTGGTAGAATAAAATATCTTTCATATCTCCCTCGAATAAAGATAAATCCTTTTTTTCGAAAAGAATGTTGGTATGTTGCCGTGAACAATGCACCAATCCTTTGTTGAATCCAGTCCCGGCGGGGATCACCCCCCCCCTAGAACAACATTTTCTTAGGCCTTTCAACCAATTGATACAACCCCGAAGAGCAGCTTTTGCCAAAACTCGAGTAGTTTCTTGAAAACTTGCTTCGGATATAAAACTTTGAATATTCAAAGATGCTCGAGTTATTCCTAATAAAATGGCTCAATAACAGATTGCTTCTTCTAAAGCAAGCCTGTTCATTCTGCTCGAAACAATCCAATTAGTTCTCCAGGTAAAAAAACAGTAGACATGCCCTTTTCTGAAACCAAAATTGTCCAAGACTACTTATTGTGGACGTTTCTTCACAACAATTATGATGATAATTTTGATGAAGAAAATACCAATTCAATTTGAATGGATTCAAAACAACGTTACTGTATGGATCTAGATTAAAAATGCTTTCGTTTTCATCGATTAAATAAGAGTTAATTACTTGAAAAATCCATTTGAGGTTATCAAGTTGCAAATATTTAATTACAGAGATCTGATTATAAGTTAGTAAAGCCAAAAATGAATAAAATTTTGAAATTTGAATAGCTGTTCCTAAGGGGCTTGACGAATTGTTAATTGTAATTAGAGGTTTTTTTGATTGATTGGTTTATCACATTGTTATATTTTACATGATTAAATGGACCGATTCTAAAACAATTAGAGGATGATAAAATTAACAAAGATTGGGATTCCTTATTTAACATACGAATAGTGCCGTGATTTTTTCTACGTGCTTTTTGAAGAATGCTAGACTTGAGAGAAGTCGGATAAAACGGATTCAGGTGATTTGCAAAGATCAATCCCGAATCTGGCAGATTATTCTTTTTTTTCTTATATATGAAATATGGGATTTCACTAAACCAATTCTTATGATATCTCGAATCGAACCCTTTGTACTTACCTCAACAAAGAAAGCACAGACTTTCTCGAGGGGAGAATTTTTATTGTCTTGGTCCCAATTCAAGACTATACAAGTTAACCAATTGAATACTTGTTTCAGAAATTACTTGAGTTGGTTTGCCATTTCCATAAAGGATATAGTTGAAAACTCGAAGTTGAATATTATCCTTTTCCCGAAAGGGATCTTGTGGGAAGAGTGTTGCCAAATTTATACTGTCCGCTATCTCATAAGTGGCTACAGGCCACACCAAAACAAAAAACTTTTTCTTGGTTGGTGTGATCCATTGGACATAAATCCAGTTTTTCAATTTTTTGGATTCTTTAGAGGTTTTTTCCCCTTCCTGGTGGTATCAAGATGCCACTGTATCGAGATATCTTATCTGTCTTGTCCGGAAAATGGATATCCCCTTAAAATATTTCGACTTCAATCTTTTTTTTTCTTTCCACTCGGAGCAACCCGCCGACTTGGCTTCTTATATTTAAAGTGATTCGTGTATCGACTCAAATGATACTATAGTTCTGTACCATTATGGCAGAGGATTCAGGTAAAATATACACTTTCTCAGGAATGAAAAAAACGCGATCCAATTTCATTTCATATTTTGTCTTAAACTCTTGGACTCCTCTATACTCAATCATATTCTTTTTTTTGATGATTGAGTCTGCCTTTAGAGTCCCATATTTAAGAATTCCGGAACTCCTCCTTCTGTATCTAGGATCATGAAAAAAGCAAAACTACTATTTCTACGGAAAATACCATTTATGGGTATTTCAATCGAGATACTCGAATGCGGTATGAATTCTTCCTCTTGCTCTTGATCTTGAATCGATTGGAATGGAATGAGAAATCTATTTCTTCACCTTTTTGCTAATAAATCCGAGTTCTCATGAAAAATAGCAGAATATATGAAATTATAATGACTAGTACCTACAATTCCATTTAATTTTGAATAATCGGGAATCCCATATTTTTTTATCAGAAAAATCCAAACTGAAAATTTTTGGCTCACTTGATCATTATTTACTAACAGGCTAGAGATATATTTTTTTGGCCGGAAAGAAAGGGTGTGTTCATTTGATCTTGATCTTTGTGGATCGAAAAAATAAGTAGACTAGATCCACATGAACCTCCTGATAATATCCATAAATGACTTGTTTTTGGTAAGAGATGGACATAACTATATGTAATTTCGGGTGCATGAGATACATCAGTACTCCAGTGCATTTCGCCCTCTGAGTCAGAATATATATTTTCTAACCCTCTCTTTAAAATGAAAAGTGTATGTTCTCTCAGGAATCTCAGCAATCACTGTTCTGATTCCACATATTGATCATTTTGAACTAAAAGAAATTTTTGTGGTGGAATAATCACGCTATGTATAATATCTTTGCTCTCAGTAATTACAGACAAGTCTATATAACATAGAAAGGCAGGGTGCCCGTGACGTGTACATGTAGGATGAACCAAATCCTCATTGAATTTGATTTTTCCATTATAAGGGGCTCGTACATGTTCGGCAGTACCTCTTGTAAATACTCCACCAGTATGAAAAGTTCTTAATGTTAGTTGAGTCCCCGGTTTGCCAATAGATTGACCCGCAATAATACCTACAGCTTCCTCCAATTCAACTAGGTCACCATGAGTGGGACTCCAACCATAACACAATCGACAGATCCAAGATGTACTTCGACAAGTAAAGGGAGTTCGAATATATATGGATTGTGTTCCAAAGGTTATGAATCGATTGACAAGTCCAATCCCAAGATCTTGATTTCAAAGTAAATCAATGATTTGTCCTTGGGGATCCGACGCTAATCCTCTCATACCTACTAATTGATGGAATTGAGATGCATTTCCCCTAGCTTGTAAAAAAGACATCATATAGACTGGATTGAAAGGGTCCGTCATACTAAAATTCGGATTCATTTCTTGTTGCAAATATTCACTTGTAGCATACCATATCTCGATAGATTGGTGTAATTTTTCTACTGCATGTACATTCCCATCATGATGCTGTTTTTCCAAAATCAAACTTTGTTGTTCAGCATCTTGGAAAAGCCAGCCTTTAGAAGGTATCGTTGAAATATCATCAATTCCTAATGAAATAGATGTAGCAGTGGTTTGCTGGAAACCCAGAGTCTTTACATAATAATAGGATTGTAAGTTATTTAGTCGTTAGTTGGAATAGTACTTATTTGGTTACAATATTATGTGACGGCCTACAACGAGGAACTGATGTCCTATTTATTGTTTTGTAAAGATATATAATAACAACTTTTATTAAAGTTATATTAAATTAACTTGTTTGGCAATATGAATAATAGTTATCCCAAAAATAGAATAGGCTAAAATCAAGGAAATCATGTTTAGACACAAAAAGTGTTTCTGGTTTAATATAATAGATTAACACACTATGAATCTTTGTTAACGGAGGTTTAATCTCTTAAAGAGAGTCATCGTTGACTATGGGTCAACCTATGATCCATAACAAGTTACATGAATTGAAGGTTTATGTTGGAAAAATAATTAAGTTCAAGGTTTAAAGTGGAAAGACAAAAAGTTCGAGGTTTTAGTTGAGAATGGGTGAATACTTGAGGATTTTTTATGGGAATTTCCCTTTTTTATATTCTTCAATTATATTGGTTACTTATGCTATTAGCTCTTCAATTATATAATTTTTATTTTAGGCAAAAATTAACATTTAAAGTAACAGTCACAGGTTTTACAGTTTTTGTCAACAATCAGACTTTTAAATATATTTAAAGTAACAATAACATTTTATACAACCAACATTTCTGCAGCCAAAAGTCTACAGTCACAGTCCTTACCAATCAGAGCTTATATAGCTTATGGTTCCAATGAAAAAATAAATCAGTTAGAGAAACTTTTAATTAAACAAAGAAAATCCTAGTTTGAGCAAAAACAAAAACGAAACTCGGAAGAAATATAGTAATCAGTGGATGAGGATGATACTACCTTGCAAGAATTTCAGTATCTCTCTCTCTCTCTCTCTCTCTCTCTCTCTCTCTCTCTCTCCCTCCCACTCTCTTGAAGAGGACAGAAGAGTCTGATATAACTTTTCCGATAGAGAAGATTGATGATAGTGATGTTTAGATCGATGGTAAATAAGAAGCGGGTGACTGTTCATTTTTTCATCCGAATAATGCATCCAGGTTCAACATATAAATGTACTGATAAATCCATATTTAAGTTAAGTATTTAAAAATAAATTATATTGATTGCGACACCCAGTAGTTAAAAATAATTTGATTTGATAGAGTTCTCTCAGGCCCGACTCCCTAGACAGATTTTAACTGCCTTGGTTTAGCCCTGGTTTTGAGTTCAACCACCTGGTATTTTCCCAAAATAGAAATCTTTTGAATCCAAAACTACCTTTGGTTTTGTGACACCGTGGTTCCACCCCCAGCGTTCAGTCGGAGGGTCCGCATCCTTGCCGGTAAGCTCTCTGTTCCCCCTGGAAGCCTCTCTCCCTTCCTCTTGGCCACAACTTCTTCAATGGATGGGTACACCTTCTGAAGCCTCTCCAAGAAGTAACTTGTTCTAGCTCCTTTGCTCACCCTCTCCAACGCTCAAGAATCCTGCAACAAACTTCAACATGGCAAGACGACTCTCGACACAGGAAAAAGGAAAGAGTGTCTACCGCTCACCGTCCCCTCCTCCGCGCAAGAGAATCAGGGCCCCTGAGATAGACACATCAGATCTGATAGCGGACAATGCTCTTACTCTCATTGGTAGACTGACAAACCCTTCTGAACAGCGGGTCTGGGCCTTGATCCCGTTCTTATCCCGCCGGTGGAACCTCCGAGGAAAATCAATAGGGTCAGACTTGGGAAATAACTGTTTCCAGTTTAGGTTCGACTTTGAGGAGGACATGCAACACGTCTTGGACAACCGACCATATCACTTCGCAAACTGGATGGTCATCCTGCAAAAATGGGAACCTGTTATTTCCCCAAACTTCCCTTCCCAGATCCCCTTTTGGATTAGGCTCAAAGGAATTCTTCTGCATTACTGGAAAGAAGAACTCATCTGCCGCATAGGAAACGAAGCTGGACATTTACTAAATTTTGAGTCACCAAAACAACAGCCCGTATGAAGGTCGAAGTAAATGGCTTAGAGGCCCTAACCAAAGAAACGATTGTGGAGTTCGGTGGATGCATAGAATCGGTGGTAACCTTGGACTACGAACGCCTTCAAAACCATTGCCTCTACTGCAACAAGCTCACCCACCTAAAAGAAAAATGCCCACTAAAACATCAACACCGAACCGAACCTTTCAAGGAAGATAATGGTGCTAAACTCTCGGAAACATCTACAAAAAGGAAGGAGGACAGATCTGAAACTGCTCCTACAAACAGATACCAACCGTACTACCAAAGACAGGACAGACACGGGAACCCCTATGGAGAGAGACCTTCAAAGCGAACAACCTCCAAATCCAGGTCACCTTCAAAGAGGAACGACTACTACTCGGCCTCATCTCAACCTAGACGAGCCACTCAAATTCCGGCAGACTCTCACTCTTATCAACGAAACCGAGGCATGGCAGGGAGGAGACGATCTCCCCCCAGCAATAACACACACAACCTTGGTACAGAGATCCCTCGTCTGCCTCCACAACCAACCAATCAAAGGAGACAAATCCCAAGTCAAGTGTGGAGAGAAAAAAGTGTAAACTCGAGATAGTCTTACCGTAATGAACCTATCCAGTGCGCCCCGGCTCACAATGAAGTGAATCAACTCCCAGCTGAAAGAAACCCTGAGATTGTGATGTCTACACCACCTCCAAACCGCCGAACTAATGAACAGATCATGGAGGAACTACAAGAAGTGAAAATCCAATACATAAATTGTGGAGACCCTGTCGAAAGTGCTGCTAGATATCAGAGAGTCCTAGAGGGTGAATCAAATGGAATGATGGCAGAAACGACAAATATGATCATAGCAGCTGAGGAAAGGAGGGACACTACCTTAACCCGTGACGGCTTCTTCAGGGGTGAACCATCGAGGATAAACGATGTAGTAGGGGACTTGGAAGCGCATCAGAGCAGCCCCCCACCTCGGAGTCAGGAACCGATGAAAAAGAAAAGAGGTCGACCTCCATCTAAGAAGACCCAAGACCAAGCCGTAAAAGGAAATCAAGACAAGGGCAATCGAAAGAAAAAGATCAACCCCACAAGGATTTCACCTTTGTCTAGAGTGGTCATAAACAGAACCTCACCTCTCCTGCTTAACCAGAACACTAGAAGAAACGTAACGGCAAACCCTCAGAGATCTGGTACCTCCACTTCGACCCCAAATGACGTAGCCAATGCTCAACCGGAGAGACACCAGAATGATCCACCGCGATGCACCTTTATTCCTGCTCGCTCAAGGGACACGACGGATTTTCAGGATCCGTCAAATCCTCTTCCTTAGCGATACTGAGCTGGAACTGTTGTGGTTTGGGGAATCCCACAACAGTTCACAGATTGGGGGAGCTACAAAAAAAGTAGATCCCGATGTAATCTTCCTCATGGAGACAAAAAATGAAGAGGAATTTATACGAAAGAAAATTGACTTATCTTCGTTTGAGTCTCAACTCTTTGTCCCACCTCACTCTTCTGGTGGAGGGGACCTAGCTTTGTTCTGGAAACAAACTATCACCCTGAAAGTGGAAAGCACCTGCATCAACTTTATAGTCACGATTATCTCTCACAAGAAAAACACCTTCAACGCCACATTTATCTACGGAGAACCTACTCAATCTAAACGAAGAGAGGTGTGGCAAACACTTACGACGATGAAGATGAACAGTGAAGAACCATGGCTTCTGAATGGAGACTTCAATGATATAGTGGACAATGAAGAAAAGTCAGGCGGACCTTTAAGAGCTGAAGGCTCTTTCGGAGAGTTTAGATCGTTCCTATCACAAAACGAGCTATATGATATTAGACACGTGGGAAACCAGCTTTCCTGGAGAGGAGTTAGGGGCAATCACCTGGTCCACTGCCGCCTGGATCGTTCTCTCTCTAACAACGCATGGGCAGAACTCTACCCGATGGGACGATGCCACTATCTCCACTTCGAAGGCTCAGACCATAGACCATTGGTAACGCTGGTCGAACCCAACCTGAAAAGGAAAGGAGGACTCTTCAGATATGATCGAATGCTAAATCACAACCCGGAAATCACCAAGTTAGTGGAAGAAATATGGAAAGAGAACCCGGAGGAATCAGTTGAACAAAAAATCACACGATGCAGAACAGCCATCTCACGCTGGACTCGTCAACATCACCAAAATAGCCAGAAATCTATCGAGGAGGGAAAAAGGAGGCTTGAGCAAGCTATGATCTCTCCTGTACATAATGAAGAAGCCATCCTCGAAATCAATATGAAGCTAAAAGAGGCTTATGCGGCGGAAGAGAATTTCTGGAGGCAAAGAAGCAGACTTATGTGGTTGACCCTAGGTGATAAAAATTCAGGCTATTTTCATGCGATAACACGAGGCAGAAGAACTGTAAACAAGTTCTCTATCATCGAGAATAGTGAAGGACTACCTGTTTTTGAAGAACCTGAGATTGTAGAAGTCATCTCTGCATATTTTCAAGACTTGTTTCTCACCAAGTCTTCAAGCTGTTCTGAAATAGTTCATGAGGCCCTGCATCCTTGCCTCTCGACCGAGGAAAACGACAAGCTGATCGCTGAACCCTCTATGCTGGAAATCAAAGAAGCTCTATTCTCGATCCACCCAGATAAAGCACCGGGCCCAGACGGCTTCTCTGCTGGGTTATTTCAAGCAAATTGGACAACAATGAGCACAAAGATGACGGAGGAAATCTGTGCAATACTGATGAGAGGAACCTTACCACAATCGATCAACAAAACCTTTGTCCGACTCATCCCCAAAGTGAAAAGCCCGAAGTCAGTTGCTGAGACCCATTGCACTTTGCAATGTATACTACAAGATTATATCCAAGCTGTTTATCAACCGCCTCAGACCTCTACTCCCAAAGCTCATCTCAGACACCCAGTCGGCCTTTGTACCTGGAAGAGCAATTGCAGATAATGTACTAATTACTCATGAAACGCTACACTTCCTCAAGAGCTCAAAAGCAACAAAACACTGCTCAATGGCAATAAAGACTGATATGAGTAAAGCCTATGATAGGCTCGAATGGTCGTTCATCTCGGCGGTTCTTGAACGCCTTGGCTTTCATGCTAAATGGATAAACTGGATACTACAATGCATAACTACAGTCTCCTATTCTTACCTGATCAATGGAGCAGCCCAAGGAATAGTTGTCCCTCAGAGAGGAATTCGACAAGGTGATCCTCTAAGCCCTTACATCTTCATCCTTTGCAGCGAAGTACTATCGAGACTCTGTAAAAAAGCACAGAACAATGGCTTGCTACCAGGCGTGAGAGTATCTCGATGTAGTCCAAGAATCAATCACCTGTTGTTTGCTGATGACACTATGTTCTTCAGCAAAACTACTCCAAAAAGCTGCCAAGCCCTCGTCTCTATTCTTCTGAAGTATGAAGCTGCTTCAGGACAGAAGATCAACAAACAGAAATCAGCAATAACATCTCAAGCAAAACCCCTCAGGAAATTAAAGACCGAGTCAAGCGGACTCTGGGCATTGATCAGGAGGGGAGATCTGGGAAATACCTTGGACTACCTGAAAGCTTTACCCGGAGGAAAAAGGACCTATTCACAGGAATAGTCGACCGTATCAAGCAGAGAGCATTAGGCTGGTCTAACCGATTCCTATCAAGTGCTGGGAAGCTAACAATGCTCAAATCGGTTCTCGCTGCAATCCCTACACACTCAATGACATGCTTCAAACTTCCAGCCAGCCTCTGCAAAAGAATTCAGTCCACTTTAACCAGGTTTTGATGGGACTCAAAACCAGGGAAAACAAAGATGTGTTGGATTGCTTGGAAAACGCTAGTTAAGTCAAAGAGAATGGGAGGACTTGGACTAAGGGAGATCCAAAGTTATAATGATGCTCTTTTGGCAAAGCTTACCTGGAGAATCATCAAGAAGCCATCCAGCCTTCTAGCAAGGATCCTCATCGGAAAATACTGCCAAGACTCTAACATCCTGAAGGTTCAACCTCCTAACAACACGTCTCACGGATGGAGAGGAATCTTGATTGGAAGAGACCTAATCATCAAGCAGCTCGGTGTAGTCATCAGAAATGGAAAAAACACTCTCATCTGGCAGGACCCTTGGCTGTCTCTCAACCATCCCCAACGACCTTTGGGACCACCACAACAAAATACAAAGGATATGAGAGTTGCAGACCTACTCATTCCTCGATCTGGGAAATGGGATAAAGAAAAGGTTGAAAACCTCTTACCACAGTACGCCAAGAAGATACTTAGCATGAAGCCGAGTGTAACTGGAGCCGATGACTCCTATATCTGGCTCCCCAACAAAACG